TCATAGATTTCGGTTTCAAATCTGAGAATAATTTAGTGTATAGAGTTTGGGGTATGTTGATTGACCATTAGGATACAAAATCGCGACAAAAAAAAATTTGAAATTTCATCATTTTAGTAAGAAGGTACCTACCTTATGATTTAGATTTTGAAAAACTTTGAAAGGTCATAACTTTTTTTCTATTATAGATAGAAAGCTGAAACTTTCACTGAATTTTATCCCAATCGAGGAACTACAATCCCTGAAAATTTCAGCTCATTTGTACTTATAGTTCCTGAGATAAAATCATGTTAAGCAAATTGGGGTGATTTATCAATTTTTCAATTTTTCTGAGTGCCTTTTTTCATAGATTTCGGTTTCAAATCTGAGAATAATTTAGTGTATAGAGTTTGGGGTATGTTGATTGACCATTAGGATACAAAATCGCGACAAAAAAAAATTTGAAATTTCATCATTTTAGTAAGAAGGTACCTACCTTATGATTTAGATTTTGAAAAACTTTGAAAGGTCATAACTTTTTTTCTATTATAGATAGAAAGCTGAAACTTTCACTGAATTTTATCCCAATCGAGGAACTACAATCCCTGAAAATTTCAGCTCATTTGTACTTATAGTTCCTGAGATAAAATCATGTTAAGCAAATTGGGGTGATTTATCAATTTTTCAATTTTTCTGAGTGCCTTTTTTCATAGATTTCGGCTTCAAATCTGAGAATAATTTAGTGTATAGAGTTTGGGGTATGTTGATTGACCATTAGGATACAAAATCGCGACAAAAAAAAATTTGAAATTTCATCATTTTAGTAAGAAGGTACCTACCTTATGATTTAGATTTTGAAAAACTTTGAAAGGTCATAACTTTTTTTCTATTATAGATAGAAAGCTGAAACTTTCACTGAATTTTATCCCAATCGAGGAACTACAATCCCTGAAAATTTCAGCTCATTTGTACTTATAGTTCCTGAGATAAAATCATGTTAAGCAAATTGGGGTGATTTATCAATTTTTCAATTTTTCTGAGTGCCTTTTTTCATAGATTTCGGTTTCAAACCTGAGAATAATTTAGTGTATAGAGTTTGGGGTATGTTGATTGACCATTAGGATACAAAATCTCGACAAAAAAAAAATTGAAATTTCATCATTTTAGTAAGAAGGTACCTACCTTATGATTTAGATTTTGAAAAACTTTGAAAGGTCATAACTTTTTTTCTATTATAGATAGAAAGCTGAAACTTTCACTGAATTTTATCCCAATCGAGGAACTACAATCCCTGAAAATTTCAGCTCATTTGTACTTATAGTTCCTGAGATAAAATCATGTTAAGCAAATTGGGGTGATTTATCAATTTTTCAATTTTTCTGAGTGCCTTTTTTCATAGATTTGGGTTTCAAACCTGAGAATAATTTAGTGTATAGAGTTTGGGGTATGTTGATTGACCATAGGATACAAAATCGCGACAAAAAAAAATTTGAAATTTCATCATTTTAGTAAGAAGGTACCTACCTTATGATTTAGATTTTGAAAAACTTTGAAAGGTCATAACTTTTTTTCTATTATAGATAGAAAGCTGAAACTTTCACTGAATTTTATCCCAATCGAGGAACTACAATCCCTGAAAATTTCAGCTCATTTGTACTTATAGTTCCTGAGATAAAATCATGTTAAGCAAATTGGGGTGATTTATCAATTTTTCAATTTTTCTGAGTGCCTTTTTTCATAGATTTCGGTTTCAAATCTGAGAATAATTTAGTGTATAGAGTTTGGGGTATGTTGATTGACCATTAGGATACAAAATCGCGACAAAAAAAAATTTGAAATTTCATCATTTTAGTAAGAAGGTACCTACCTTATGATTTAGATTTTGAAAAACTTTGAAAGGTCATAACTTTTTTTCTATTATAGATAGAAAGCTGAAACTTTCACTGAATTTTATCCCAATCGAGGAACTACAATCCCTGAAAATTTCAGCTCATTTGTACTTATAGTTCCTGAGATAAAATCATGTTAAGCAAATTGGGGTGATTTATCAATTTTTCAATTTTTCTGAGTGCCTTTTTTCATAGATTTGGGTTTCAAACCTGAGAATAATTTAGTGTATAGAGTTTGGGGGTATGTTGATTGACCATTAGGATACAAAATCGCGACAAAAAAAAATTTGAAATTTCATCATTTTAGTAAGAAGGTACCTACCTTATGATTTAGATTTTGAAAAACTTTGAAAGGTCATAACTTTTTTTCTATTATAGATAGAAAGCTGAAACTTTCACTGAATTTTATCCCAATCGAGGAACTACAATCCCTGAAAATTTCAGCTCATTTGTACTTATAGTTCCTGAGATAAAATCATGTTAAGCAAATTGGGGTGATTTATCAATTTTTCAATTTTTCTGAGTGCCTTTTTTCATAGATTTCGGTTTCAAATCTGAGAATAATTTAGTGTATAGAGTTTGGGGTATGTTGATTGACCATTAGGATACAAAATCGCGACAAAAAAAAATTTGAAATTTCATCATTTTAGTAAGAAGGTACCTACCTTATGATTTAGATTTTGAAAAACTTTGAAAGGTCATAACTTTTTTTCTATTATAGATAGAAAGCTGAAACTTTCACTGAATTTTATCCCAATCGAGGAACTACAATCCCTGAAAATTTCAGCTCATTTGTACTTATAGTTCCTGAGATAAAATCATGTTAAGCAAATTGGGGTGATTTATCAATTTTTCAATTTTTCTGAGTGCCTTTTTTCATAGATTTCGGCTTCAAATCTGAGAATAATTTAGTGTATAGAGTTTGGGGTATGTTGATTGACCATTAGGATACAAAATCGCGACAAAAAAAAATTTGAAATTTCATCATTTTAGTAAGAAGGTACCTACCTTATGATTTAGATTTTGAAAAACTTTGAAAGGTCATAACTTTTTTTCTATTATAGATAGAAAGCTGAAACTTTCACTGAATTTTATCCCAATCGAGGAACTACAATCCCTGAAAATTTCAGCTCATTTGTACTTATAGTTCCTGAGATAAAATCATGTTAAGCAAATTGGGGTGATTTATCAATTTTTCAATTTTTCTGAGTGCCTTTTTTCATAGATTTCGGTTTCAAACCTGAGAATAATTTAGTGTATAGAGTTTGGGGTATGTTGATTGACCATTAGGATACAAAATCTCGACAAAAAAAAAATTGAAATTTCATCATTTTAGTAAGAAGGTACCTACCTTATGATTTAGATTTTGAAAAACTTTGAAAGGTCATAACTTTTTTTCTATTATAGATAGAAAGCTGAAACTTTCACTGAATTTTATCCCAATCGAGGAACTACAATCCCTGAAAATTTCAGCTCATTTGTACTTATAGTTCCTGAGATAAAATCATGTTAAGCAAATTGGGGTGATTTATCAATTTTTCAATTTTTCTGAGTGCCTTTTTTCATAGATTTGGGTTTCAAACCTGAGAATAATTTAGTGTATAGAGTTTGGGGTATGTTGATTGACCATTAGGATACAAAATCTCGACAAAAAAAAAATTGAAATTTCATCATTTTAGTAAGAAGGTACCTACCTTATGATTTAGATTTTGAAAAACTTTGAAAGGTCATAACTTTTTTTCTATTATAGATAGAAAGCTGAAACTTTGACTGAATTTTATCCCAATCGAGGAACTACAATCCCTGAAAATTTCAGCTCATTTGTACTTATAGTTCCTGAGATAAAATCATGTTAAGCAAATTGGGGTGATTTATCAATTTTTCAATTTTTCTGAGTGCCTTTTTTCATAGATTTCGGCTTCAAATCTGAGAATAATTTAGTGTATAGAGTTTGGGGTATGTTGATTGACCATTAGGATACAAAATCTCGACAAAAAAAAAATTGAAATTTCATCGTTTTAGTAAGAAGGTACCTACCTTATGATTTAGATTTTGAAAAACTTTGAAAGGTCATAACTTTTTTTCTATTATAGATAGAAAGCTGAAACTTTCACTGAATTTTATCCCAATCGAGGAACTACAATCCCTGAAAATTTCAGCTCATTTGCACTTATAGTTCCTGAGATAAAATCGTGTTAAGCAAATTGGGGTGATTTATCAATTTTTCAATTTTTCTGAGTGCCTTTTTTCATAGATTTCGGCTTCAAATCTGAGAATAATTTAGTGTATAGAGTTTGGGGTATGTTGATTGACCATTAGGATACAAAATCGCGACAAAAAAAAAATTGAAATTTCATCATTTTAGTAAGAAGGTTCCTACCTTATGATTTTGATTTTGAAAAACTTTGAAAGGTCATAACTTTTTTTCTATTATAGATAGAAAGCTGAAACTTTGACTGAATTTTATCCTAATCGAGGAACTACAATCCCTGAAAATTTCAGCTCATTTGCACTTATAGTTCCTGAGATAAAATCGTGTTAAGCAAATTGGGGTGATTTATCAATTTTTCAATTTTTCTGAGTGCCTTTTTTCATAGATTTCGGCTTCAATTCTGAGAATAATTTAGTGTATAGAGTTTGGGGTATGTTGATTGACCATTAGGATACAAAATCTCGACAAAAAAAAAATTGAAATTTCATCGTTTTAGTAAGAAGGTACCTACCTTATGATTTAGATTTTGAAAAACTTTGAAAGGTCATAACTTTTTTTCTATTATAGATAGAAAGCTGAAACTTTGACTGAATTTTATCCTAATCGAGGAACTACAATCCCTGAAAATTTCAGCTCATTTGAACTTATAGTTCCTGAGATAAAATCTTTCTTGTATGGAGTTTGGGGGGTCCCAAATGATCAAAAATCACGTCTCGAAAACAATTCAATTATTCACAGAATTCCAAACAAGTGCCAGGAATAGTCAAAAAAATTTGAAGTATCCCCATCTATAATTTCAAAACTTAATTTACGAAAATATGTATTGTGGTAAAGATTCTTTAGTAAAAATGTCGTGCAAAGTGCCATATTGGTGTAAAAAACACCCTATGAGAAATTGTTTACGTGTAGGTGATTTTTAGGCTTATCAAAAACTTGGGAGAAACCAAAAGCGGAATGCCGGACCTTCTTGTGTGGAACACCAAAACCAAAACCCATAAATTTGTTGAAGTTAAAGGGAAAAATGATAAGTTGGCTGCACATCAGATCTTGTGGTTGAATTATCTACAAGAGGCTGGAGCTAATGTCGAGATATGTTATGTGGACAGTACTTGTTAAAGAAGACGTTGTATACCTGTAAGTTTTTTTTGTTAGAATATTGTTTCCAGTTTACAAAAAAATAAATACTGGTTTTTGTTTCATTATCTTTTTATATGTTAAATTGACAAACCTATAATACATAGTATTTTAAAATATATTATAATATACAATCTGTTTATAAGCTAGTTGGCTAATGGCAATTTTTCTTTTATGAGGTATACTTATTTCTAAAATAATAGAACAGGTACATATTTAATACTACAATACTTAATACTATCCATCCTCTTGAAGTCTCAAACATAGAATCTAAGTGATAATATCATATCAAAGAAATGTGCTTTTAGAAACAGCAAACCTAAAAGGCCTTTCTACAGGGACTACAAAGACAATTCAGTTTGAATCGTGCAAAAACGAAAAATTATCTGACACAACAATCAAGTTGAAAATTGCCCTGGAAACTCCAAAAGTTTGTAGAAAATATACAGGGTGGTCCATTTCTAATGTCTCAATTTAAATGGACCAACCTGTATAATTGATTGAATCAAATTTAAATCTAAATTAATTTAACTTCTGCGATTAAGATCTCTTTTTGGTTTTTTTAACCTTCCTGGTGCGAGGTGACATAGTAGTTGAAGGAAAACCTTCTTCGTAAGCAGCTACCATTTGCTCAGTTGATTTCTGATCTTCGCCTTGATAGTAATAGTTATTCAAAACTCCTCTTCTCGATAAATATTTAGCCATTTCGTCGTATCCGAGACTTTGAAGATCATAAGCAGGCTTTTCTTGAGTATTGTAATTGTAATATTGTTCTTGTTGTTGAGGTTGATTATTTGTTGGAGGAGGAGTTACATAAACTTCTGGTTCCTGTTGTTGTTGATAGCCATAATAAGGCCTTTCGCTTTCTTGTACTTCAACTTTAGCTATATTTTCGGGTACATGAATATTGATGGTTTTAATGGAATTTTCTTCTGATTCTGGAGTTCGAATTTTGCCTACAAACAAAATAATTAATTTCAATAGAAAATAATATCATTATTAAATACCTGAATGAGTTTTAAATATTACTCTAGTATGTTTGTTGCTGGGATAATTTTCTTCTGTCAGCAGTTTTTGTTGTTGTTGATCTTCAACTTGGCCGGAATAATAATCTTGATATTGTTGCTCATAATCTTGAGATGGTTGTTGATAATAATTTGATGCTGGCACGTAATAATATTGAGTTTTAGGTTGTTGTGTAGACAACTCATGACTGTTTTGATACCGAAATTGGTACTTTACTGGTGCTTCTTGCACTTGAACATCATTACTATAATCCTGCTGCTGATATTGTTGTTGTTGCTGATAATAATCATTTTGTTCTGGATATTGTTGTCCACTTGTTACTTTCAAAGCCTTAACATAATGATTCAATAGGCTTTGAATATTAACAGAATTTATAGCCTTGGCAAATGGATGTCCGTCAGGTAAATTAGCATGAATTGTAGAATCTTGTAGCTGATCCGGATAAATTCTGAGCAAAATAACTGGCACAGGGTTGCTATTGTGTTGTAGCTCGGGAATTTGGGAAAGGCTAGGTTTTAGGTTTCCAACTTGGCCTCTGGATGTTAAGCTGGAATATAAAGTGGTTCCAGGTTTGAGAGTTGGGTGAGTGTATTCTGTTATGGTTGGTAGAGTGTATTGGACTGATTTTTGAATGGTCGGAGTGGGTTCTGGTTGCTTGAAGAATTTTCTTTGGTTGCCTTTGTAGCCTGGTATATCGTGCTGCGAGTATTTGTAGACTTCATAGCGTGGCTTTTCAAAACTATCTACAATAATAGTAATTTTATTTTGCAATTTGTATCAAAATAAGCAACTACTTACTGTAGCCATATCCAAGAGAATTATCTATAGTTCGTTTGGAATTTTTGCTGCTGGTAGAATTTTCATTTGGGTCCACGATTTCGATAGCTATGATGGCTGGTTGAGGAGTGGTTGTTTCAATTAAGGATTTTTTCTTTATCTTAGTTGCAGTCGATATAGAAATCATTAAGGACAGCTAAAACATACAGCACAGGAAATTCAATAAAATGTAAATAAGTATGAGAGTGAAAGTGCATATTTATTACATTAGAATTTCCGAAATAAATTAATATTTTGTTGGCGGAAAACAATATTTTTCATTTTGCTGACCAAAACCGCTTTCTTCGTCTTATAATGATGATCATGTTTTTCTTGTCAAGCGACAGATTGGACTCGAAGATTCTTTCGAGTTTTAGCATATATAATTACATGTAGGTATTGCAAAAAATAAGTTAGTGGTCATTTATTTTAATGAATTGGCTATTGGAAACGGGAACTTACAAAAGAAAGTGAAATTTTCGGTTATAATTACCTTATTAGTTCTGTGCAAAGATACTGATATTTTGGATTCAAATAAGTGGAAAAATTAGGGTAAAACCTAAATATTTTTACCATAAGTAAACAAAGTACTTTTTTGTAAATGTGTAAAAATTTGATTTTAAATTAAATATTTGTGTCTTTCAATAATAGACATAAAAAATCGATTCTTTATGTGAAAAAACCAATACAAGAAGTTAAAATTATGTAAGTATTACTTGACGTCTTCCTTTTACTTTCACTTTACTGATCTGCCGGTAGGTATGTAGTGGAATTAGTTCAAACACAAATAATCGATTAAAAGTGATTATCCTTTTACTGGGTCAAGTAGTAAACCTCGATGCTTTTATTGTTTTTTTGTATTAAATGAAGAGATTGTCATGAAGTTGCAAAATATTTCAAAGTTTAAATTATTCTAAAACTAATTAAATGATTGTCACACGACAAAATATCGAATAAATGAAAACCAGGATGTCCATAAATCAATGGAAATATAATTTGGTTCCAAATATTCAATAATTATTGCTAATTTCCGGTTAAATTAGGCAAGATGTATAATTTTAGTATTGAGGGATTTTTGAAAACTTTAAAAAAGTCTTCAATGTTACTTCTTGAGTCATTCATCAATAAAAAGTCTTGAAATATTTCTTGGTTTCGCAGATTCAGTTTTCAGGATTTTGATTCATGATTTGTCACAATTTTCAGCATTGAATTAGTAGTTGGAATTTTGATTCTTGAGTTTTCAGATGTGATTAAATGAATGTTTTAGGTTTTCAGTGGTAATTATTCTTTGATCATGAGCTATAAATCTTCAGACTTTTTTCGATTTCTAGATGCTTTGACTCTGAAATCATTCTTATTTAGGTTTCGAATTTTTAAAAACTTTGAAAAATCATAACTAGAAATAGAAAAGTGAAATTTTTAGCGATTTTTATCCAAATAGAGGGACTACAATCCCTGAAAATTTCAGCTCATTTGGACTTATAGTTTCAGAAATAAAATCGTGTTAAGCCATTTGAAAGGTCATAACTTTTTTTTGTAATAAAGATAGAAAGCTGAAATTTTCAGCGATTCTTATCTCAGTAGAGGACTACAATCCCTGAAAATTTCAGCTCATTTGGACGTATAGTTTCAGAAATAAATTCCTGTTAAGCAATTTGGGGTGATTTATCAATTTTTCAATTTTTCTGAGTGCCTTTTTTCGTAGAATCTGGTTCCAAATCTCAGAATAATTTAGTGTATGGAGTTTGGGGATCCCAAAGGACCATTAGGATACAAAATCTCACCAAAAAAAAATTTGAAATTTCATCGTTTCAGTAAGAAGTTACCTACCTTATGATTTAGATTTTGGAAAACTTTGAAAGGTCATAACTTTTTTTTGTAATAAAGATAGAAAGCTGAAATTTTCAGCGATTCTTATCCCAGTAAAGGACTACAATCCCTGAAAATTTCAGCTCATTTGGACGTATAGTTCCAGAAATAAAATCGTGTTAAGCAATTTGGGGTGATTTATCAATTTTTCAATTTTTCTGAGTGCCTTTTTTCATAGAATCTGGCTCCAAATCTCAGAATAATTTAGTGTATGGAGTTTGGGGATCCCAAAAGACCATTAGGATACAAAATCTCAATAAAAAAAAATTTGAAATTTCATCGTTTCAGTAAGAAGGTACCTACCTTATGATTTGAAAGGTCATAACTTTTTTTCTATCAGAGATAGAAAGCTGAAGTTTTTAGCGATTCTTATCCCAGTAGAGGACTACAATCCCTGAAAATTTCAGCTCATTTGGACGTATAGTTTCAGAAATAAATTCCTGTTAAGCAATTTGGGGTGATTTATCAATTTTTCAATTTTTCTGAGTGCCTTTTTTCATAGAATCTGGTTCCAAATCTCAGAATAATTTAGTGTATGGAGTTTGGGGATCCCAAAGGACCATTAGGATACAAAATCTCACCAAAAAAAAATTTGAAATTTCATCGTTTCAGTAAGAAGTTACCTACCTTATGATTTAGATTTTGGAAAACTTTGAAAGGTCATAACTTTTTTTTGTAATAAAGATAGAAAGCTGAAATTTTCAGCGATTCTTATCCCAGTAAAGGACTACAATCCCTGAAAATTTCAGCTCATTTGGACGTATAGTTTCAGAAATAAATTCCTGTTAAGCAATTTGGGGTGATTTATCAATTTTTCAATTTTTCTGAGTGCCTTTTTTCGTAGAATCTGGTTCCAAATCTCAGAATAATTTAGTGTATGGAGTTTGGGGATCCCAAAGGACCATTAGGATACAAAATCTCACCAAAAAAAAATTTGAAATTTTATCGTTTCAGTAAGAAGTTACCTACCTTATGATTTAGATTTTGGAAAACTTTGAAAGGTCATAACTTTTTTTTGTAATAAAGATAGAAAGCTGAAATTTTCAGCGATTCTTATCCCAGTAAAGGACTACAATCCCTGAAAATTTCAGCTCATTTGGACGTATAGTTTCAGAAATAAATTCCTGTTAAGCAATTTGGGGTGATTTATCAATTTTTCAATTTTTCTGAGTGCCTTTTTTCGTAGAATCTGGTTCCAAATCTCAGAATAATTTAGTGTATGGAGTTTGGGGATCCCAAAGGACCATTAGGATACAAAATCTCACCAAAAAAAAATTTGAAATTTCATC